CTGCTGAACTATGTGTTGTAATTAATCTGAAACATGATTTGCCACTCAGTTTTGTTTTTCTTTGTTTGGTTTAAGCAAGTCAGTTTCTAGAAGACTAACTTTAGAGAATTTAACTTAAATCAGATTTAAGTTCCATCCAGAGCTGACTTGATGCATTGCCAGTTGTGTTGTACTTCGGCAAAAACAGTAAAGATCCCTGCATCCTGCAGAAAGCCAAGCTAGCCGATTCTTGTAGATCACCAGTTCCAGGAGTCCTGCAATCTTGGAAAGAGATATCCTGTATCTTCTGAGAATGTTAACTCTCTAAATTAAAAACACACTATGTGAAATATGCTACATAATGAAATAGAAGACTGCTAGACTCCTAGTTAAATATGATTCAATAAAACAGCTATCCCTTCGTATTCTTCTAGTGACTGCTTACCCTAAAGTAAATAAAGGCCCGTCACACTTTACTTGGTGACAATAAGCCACAGGCCATCCAACACTGTAAAAGCCCAAAGCCTGGAGAATTACTCAGCTGCACCACCACATGACAAAAAGCAACAGCTGACCACCCATCTCTTTACTCGAACATCAACAGGATACAGACCTTCTTGACGCAGTCAAACCACAACTGAAGTTAAGTTTACTTCTGTACCAATGGTAATTTAATGCCCATCAGTTCACGTATGTGCAGTAAATTAGGCTTACGTTGCATACCCACAATAGCTAATTTCAAGTTCTTTGACAATTTCATAAGAAATAGAAGGATCAAGTATTAAAAATGTTGAGGTTTCAGAAACAGAATGAAGGGGAAATAAGCTTGCAGCAAAAAACCTGACACATCACGTACCAAGTCCTACATAGAAAACATTTGCCTTAAGTGTGCCAAAGCTCTGTTGTCTGGACTAGGGAAAGTTACCTTTTGAAGTTTTAGCCATGTAAGCTGTATCACATTATCCACCATAAATTATTTTGCAATGCAATTTTTCATACAGCCTTACCCAGAACTGGTACTTCAGTATTTGTGCTTGTGTTACTAGCATATTCTTTTCATGGAAAGAACCATTTTAAAAGATCTTTGAAAACAAGTGTTGTGTGAAACATGAAGTTCATGCCTGTTTGCAATCTCTCTAGTGTGGAAAGTGTGAGTAGTCACACTATCTCCACAGACAGCACTTTGATCAAAGGGTCCAAAAGCCACAGATCATAGTTCACATATCCAGCTGTACAGCATTTCCCTTCAAGCTCTGGCCTGCTTCAATTTCAATATTACACATTAAAAGTTACCCAATTCATGTTCATATACTTGGCATGCCAGTGAGTATTTGCCCCAAGAACAGACGGGGCATGAATCTTCACTTTGAAAAATTTAAGTTGATAAAGCACTTTGGAATAACCCCAATAGTTAGGAAACATTCACTTTACCAGTTTTTTTTATACTGTATATACTTAGTCAAGAGACTCAAAGGAAAGCCTGTAATAGCAGTTTAAAGGATAGTGATTATTTTTCTCTAAGTCCTATTCAAGTCAGTTATCTTGGGCTTTGGTTACAAATGGTACTTTGAACAGGTCAATGGAAATCTTACTCCACAAAGCAAATATAACAAAAAAATTACAGGCAGCATCTCAGTTTTTATTTAAAAATTGTCTGAGTACACAAGTACCTCCTTCCTTCTGTAGGAAGAGTCCACGGGGTCTTTTTTGTTTTATTTTGTAACATTTTCAGGTAGGGAAGAAAAGAGGGAGAAAAACAAGGTTATTCATGAAACCCCAAGTGAAACATTCAAGAACAGAGTGGTTAATAAATACACTACTATGTAAAGAACAAATCTGAACCTGCAACTGGTCTATTCTGCTGCAGTTTAGGTTTCTTGCTAGCAGCCATTAAGTCTCATGTGAAGTTTTCTAGATTTCAGGAAAAAGTTAGTGTTTGAGGTTCATGGGCACACAACCATTGGCATACTCAGTACCCACATGACTGCTGTCTGAAGAATCAGTTGGTCCTGAACTGAGATTAACTAGAAGGGGAAAAAAAAAATCTATTAGCATAAAATAAAAGACTTCTGAAGCAGTCACAGCAAGGTGCCACACCTCTACGCTGCTTTCGTTGTACACACAGCTGACCAGATGAGAAGTGCAGTCCATCCCAGTCAGTTTTCAGTAGGGTACCACGGAAGGACGTGAAGTTTCAGCACGACTCTAAACTGGACTGTGTTGAGGCACAGTATCACATACAGAGAAAACAAATTATCCTACTGCCTACACTGAAAAGTACTGAAGAATGGTTTGACCACAGGCACAAGAATTGAAGATTCCAGCTTAAGTATTAGCTACGGCCTCTATAAAAGTGGCTTTTATAAAAGAAATTCATAGTGGTGATTAATTCTGGAATGATCAGGTTTTAAAAAAAATCTTACTCTATAAGAAAGATAAAATTACGAGAACGCAGTTTTAACTGACAACTGTAAACCTGAATTAAAATGTCAAGTGTACTATGCATTCTATAAATACTTTTAAGATGTTTAAAAATTAGATATCCCCAAATGCCCATTTTAGGGCTGTAAAACGTACAGTGAGACTCCTCATGTGTTAGTTCAAACTACAGTTTTTCACTCATCATTAATTAAAAAACATATGCCTATCAAAATAGAAAAAAGTGCAAAGCTTCAGAGACAATTGTATACCTCAATTTATATCCCAATCTTGCATTAAAATTGCCTGTCTCAGGCACACTCAGAGATTACATGATCCACAGAAATATCCTTGTACTGGAATACTGCCCATAAAGGCAAGTCATAGATCAGCACGCATTTCCTCTGTATTCCAGATGCATTTTGCATTCTGTGGTTTCCCCTTTCTCTAATGCTATTTATGTGTCTAAGGAGAACAGTTGGCTGCGGTTTTCCACTGTTAAGGCTGAAGGTCTCCCTGATTATCAACATTTATAACATTTGCCGGATTTATTCCGTTTTCGATTTGTTTCTGATGTGATGCCGCTGTGACAAACAAATGGGAAGATTCCATTGTAGAATGATGACTGACATCTGCTTTCACTAGAACTTCGTAATACAGGAGGTAAAAAACTGGAGTTACTATGCCAATAATCAACATAATCACTACAGCTGTCCACCATCCTATACCCCAATCTGCTCCGTAGTAAGGATCCTTGCATTTTTTAGTTTTACCATCAGTTTCAAAACAGATCTGTTGGGCTGCTAAGGCAGAAACAACTTCATTAAGATTCTCTCTCTTTGTATCATTACACTTCACTATTTCTTCTATATCTCGATCCACTTCTTTTAAGAAGTTGCCGGCGGTCTCATTAGCAGAGAATTTATCGGAAGGTGATGTTTCCTGCGCTTCTGGGGCACAGTGAGCAGGCCGAAGGACTGGTCTTCCTTTTGGAGAGACATGTGTTTCGGTCAATACACTGAACTTTTTCACTGGAATTTTGATAGACCTCAGGGCAAAAAAATCTTGATCATTGATAAGATTGTTAACTCTCTTGATATCTGCAACCTAAAAATAAAAACAACAGTTTAAATATCAAAGCCCCACTGAACGGAAACTCTTCAAGAGTACTACATCCTTGAGAAACACAATTATTCCCCAATGAAAGAAACAAAGGCAGTGCCTTTGTGATTTTTTTTTTCTTTTTAAACCAATACCCATTCAAACAGTATGAAGTGAGAAGAGGTCAAAGACCAAATCTGAACAATGTTAAAGCAAGAATTAGTTATGAGGTACAAACCTCCACATGTCAGATAAGAAGACTGAAAGTCACTTCACGCATGTATACACTTAATGTATATTCACCTGTCAGTGGCAACTATCTCTGTGAAATTAAAGGGACTTTACCTCACAATTTTCAAATGAAGTAAATTGCTCTGTGTTTCTAATTAAACTGAAAACTTCTGAGTAAGGAATATTAAAAATTACGAGGTTTCAATTCATCTAGCCACAGTTGTGTTTGGATACTCTTTCTGCTTCTGGGAGCTAAGGCAGAAACCAAGCATAACTTAAAACTGTCATCTTCTCCAAGACAGCTCTCCCCTTTCCCTGTTCTTGCTCAAAATGAATCTCATTTTGCTCTCAATAAGTTCAGATTTTAAGTCTAATGTGAAATACTCTGCAAGGATTTAACTGCCCTTGGAGAATTAGCAGCTTCATTCTGAGAAAGTAACCCCTTCAACATGGAAGGCACAGCCACAAATCTCACCATCATGGAAGTACTTAAAAATCAGTACTTTTTTGCAACACTTGGTAAGCACACAGGAATTGCGCCCATTTCAAGAGGCACAGTACCCGAGTTCAGATCTGTCCTGTCCTCATTGGGAGGACATTTACCTCAGGGGAAGGTACCGACAGAAAACCTGGTAGTCAAGAGACACTTGTTGCTGTGACTGCTCCACTTACAACACAGTTGTGGCCTGAAAAAGTAAGTTGGGGCCATCAGTGCCTACTGCCTGCACTAACCTTGTGACATGAAAGTGTTTCCATTCCTGCGACACTGTATTACATGTATCATGCTGAATAAATCAGATGAGCGTAGAAAACTGCCAAATGCAGCACTGACCCCATTAATTAGTGATTCCACCATAACACAAGTTATGCTTTCTGCCTAAAAGCCTGGACCACTTTTTCACCTACATTCTTCATGAGATTTCCAAAAAAAAGCACAAATCAGTTATCTTTTATTTCCTATTTGAGGCCTGATTTAGTAAGCCTGCTCAAAATACCTAATTATGGTGTGTTCTGAAGCCAAGAATTGGTTAATGAGGCTAAGGTCTGTCACGGTTATCAAACAGTTATGTCAAGACTTCGGTACCTAAAATCACAGCAGGAGGCCCCTAATTCTGTTTCTGCCTGAAGAAAGATGACAGCAAGACTTCTGTAAATACGGATTTTGAATTTGACCTCTTGAAAACTGCACAGTTAGCAGTCAGTCCACTAACATGCACAAGCTGATTTCCTGACAAAACTGGATGCGTACAAAGGATAGGAAGGGCATTCATCAGATTAATTTAAGAACTCTTAGCTAGGAGAAGTAGCAAGGTCTGAGGACCTGAAGTAAGGCAACACTTGGGGTGTGTGGGCAGGGACCTCCCAATGGTACAACATGCTCATGCTGGTAAATATTTAGGCAACTTAGCAGAACCTGATAATGAAGGGTTTTTTTTTCCCCTCTCTGTAATGGAATTAGGGCTCCACACAAGCCCTGAAGGTGGTTCAGCAACACTCTCCTTATCACAAACTGCGACAGCAACGACAACGCTAGCAGAAGTGCCCACGTGTGAGTGTGAAAATGTATGTAAACCCATGCATTTGTTCCTTACGCTGACATGAAGTGGAAAAAGCCTATGGAACTGCAACTCCAGCATACTCCGCGCTGTTATGCTAACGCTCTACTGCCTTTCCTCCCCGCCTCCTACAGCGCACGGCGTTCTCGGTGCGC